ATAAAATGAGGTGGCCGCGGCCGCGGCCGCGTTGGACATGTGACCGTTGAATTATATACAATTGAATTATATAGAAAACGCAAGGGGTGGGGGGGGTGGTCATCTGTACAGGTGGCTGCATTATACAGGAGGCTATCATGACAGGTTCGACTGAATTTGTAAAACTCGTAATTATGCTATTAAATTGTAATTGCCCTAACAGAAATTGTTACTATTACTGTTGCTAACGATCCATGCATATTTTAACAAATCATGGTCAAGTACATAATATATAGGCCTAGATATCTATGGCCTATAATCAAGAGTTGTAATTGTCATTAGGCTTACTGTCATTTACAAATTAAATTATATAAAATCTTCTCTTGGACATCAGTTTCTTGGGTGTTCTCCCCCCCCCCCCCCCCGAACTAATGGGCTTTCTCGTCCCGATGTGACTTATAATTTGGCCGAAAAGGGTGCTGACAATGCTCTAGATCCTATTGCCCTCTTGTGGGGTAATGAACTAGGTCGTAAGCTAAGGCGTTGAACTGTATTATATCATGTATGTTTAAATAGATTTAATCAAAAGAAGGCCTACACGTCTGCTGGGCAAGACTGTAGTAAGAACATTTATTCATTTAATTATATATCTATCTATATATTTATTTATTTATTACTAAGTTGTATTTTACAGCAGTAGGCACGCAATGTTTGTTTTAAGACCTTAACTTTTTTTAGTTACCTGAAACTGATCACCAAGGTCCACCTCAATTTCCACTTCATTTTGAAAACTGGATATCCACATACTATTACTGTCCCCATCATTGATGTACTGCAAGGGGTGAGCGTTCCTCGAAATTCTAAGAGTTGTTTGATCTGAACCTTCGGGCATCCCGTTTTGCATACAGTAGTGGGTACTGTCCGGTTTGACTCGCAGATACGTTCCCTGACATCGGCAGTCGGACTGGATTCGGACTTCAGGGAAAACCCCCGAGTACACCTCCATGACCTCCCTGCCGGTTAGAACAAATTCGGAGTCAGTCCAGGTTTTTTTAAATATTAAAGACAACGTTTAGAAGCTTTTAGCTTTTATTTTTGTATCTTTTGTATCTATGTGCAACTTTGCGGGGGAGGGGGAGGGGGAGGGGGAAGTCAGTTGGTTACATGGCAGTGTTGGGAGCACAGCATTTTTAAGATTTTCAAATGTGCTTTAATTTACTTTTTTTTTAAACAGAACTACTACTAGTAGAACACAAACTCTTATTTATGCACAAGATAAGATAAGATAAGATAAGATAAGATAAGATAAGATAAGATAAGATAAGATAAGATAGTACTTTATTATCCCAGAGGGACATTTTCCTTGGCTGTACAGGACCGTAAAACACATGCAGGTATACATAAAAAATTTAAATTATATATATTACTCTCATTAAGATTCAATATGAAATGAGAAGTAAAGCTGACAAAATGTACATTTACAGCAAATGCATCATTCAACCACATGCAGGAATTCAAATACTAGACCTTTGGAGTTATATACAGATACATACTCTAATAGCAACACCCATCTATGCTCATTCTGACAAACGCCTTATGCTAGATGATAAAAAACTTCTTTTATATCTTTCTTTTTTTGTTTTTGGGGGTACATATCTGTCGCTGCGTGATCTTACAAATTGTGTGGAAAAGGGGTGTGATGGGTCGTTTATAATGCTTTTTCTCTTTTTTATACGTGTGGTATTATACATTTCACCCATTCTATTAAAATCAGTTTTAAAAAGGGTGAGCGTTCCTCGAGATTTTAAGCCCTTAAAACAAGGGCACTCGGATGAGCAAGCAGACACCAAGGGGAGGGGGGGATAATGTGGACAGCCCTGATTCGAATCCCTCGTCTGGCTCTTTTGAACTTGGTTTGGTTCTGTACTGTGTATTTCTCTCTCTCTCTCTCTCTCTCTCTCTCTCTCTCTCTCTCTCTCTCTCTCTCCCCACATGGCTCTGTGCTTTCTTAGATAGATATTGGTGGAGGTTCTGTCTCCTAACTGACTTTACTAACCCGATGGAAACGTAAAATCATATCGTATTATTCCCAACTACCACCATGCCGCACCAATAGCAGGATTACAGAGGACGAGGTATGAACAAAGTACACAAAGCTGATAACGAGCTAAAAATTAACTAAACAAAGAAAGTGTGCAGATTGCAGTAAACTGATATTCGCAAAGAAAAGTCAACAATTGAATTTTATTGATTATGTGTTGAGACAGAATTTACTTTTAATCTCCGACACCCCCAGTCAAATATAACATTGTATGTGGGGGGCGAAAGCTATTGGACAATGAAAAACACAGACTACCATCATCATCATCATCATCATCATCATCATCATCATCATCATCATCATCATCATCATCATCATCATCATCATCATCATCATCATCATCATCATCATCATCATCATCATCATCATCATCATCGTCGTCGTCGTCGT